TGGGCGCGGAGGGAGAGGAGAGGGGGTGGGGGGGGCCGCAAAGGAGACGACTGCTCCAGGGCCCAGTCAGTCAAAAGGTCCCATAGCTCAGAGACCTTTAAATCAGAGCGCTACACTCCGGGAGGCGTGGAGGGCTGGGGGGAGGGCATGCTGTGATTCTTTTGGGAGCATAGAGCAGGCCTTCCTCCCCCCCCCCACCATACTCAGGGACACAACAAGGCTGTTGGCTCCTCTGCCGTTCCCTACAATAGAGGAAGCTTCGTTGCTGAGGAAACTTCCCTACAGGCTGGGATGGGATCTATGCTGGCACCACTGAAAACGTGCCGTGGGGTGGGGAGTAGAACAAAACATAAGGAGACTCCAGTACACACCAGAAAGGAAACGAGAAGGGCAGTTTCACTCAGGGGATGAGATTAATTAAGAGATTCCAGCTGGACGGTACCTCAGAGGGATCCAAATCGGATTTGCTCAGTTCAGAAATCAAAAGGTGATTTTCCTAACTGCCAGCATCGCAAGCTAGACAATGTGAAAAGCCCAGCAGGGCCCCGTCCTGCCTCTTCCTACCCCCTTCAGATAAAGATTCTGCAATCAGAACTGGCTGACAGCTTTATTAACAATGCCCGAGGTGCAAACACATTTCCAGGCTCACTTGCTTGTAGCTGGATTAGCTTCAGAGAGAGAAAAGCAGGGAAGAACCTACATTCAGCACAAAAAGGGTGCAAATCTAAGGCACAGAGTTGGCTGTGGGAACACTGCATTTCAGACATATGCCATTCCCTTTTGTGCTCTGGCTGAGTAAGGCCTGTGGTCCCCAAGACCACATGGCTAGAAGCACAGCTCTCAATTCCCAATCAGTTTTACTATTTAAGGCCTCTAAAACCTGGCTAAAGCCCAAGCTCTTAAATTTAGCCATTAATGTTGGAGGTAGTAGTTAAGTTTCAATCAGCCTCTCTTCAGTTCCCGAGCAACAGTAAGCTCTGGGAGGCCCTTGGTGCTAACATCTGGGGCAGCAGCTGTAGACAGCAGCTGCTGCTAACAAGGCCCCAGCTATCAAACCAGCATAGCAGAGAAGAGATCTAACAGGCTGAGGAGCAGGTACATAAGGTGTTGCTACTGCTAAGAGCCTTGGAAGCAGAGCTGCTTGGGAAAGAGGTGCACCCTTTCCAAAAGAGAAACTCATGCTAAACTTCTGCCCTGCCAGCAGCTCCAGCAAGCAGCGGCTCCTGCTTGGGCCCTTGCAAGGAGAAAGGGCCCAGCTTTAGTCAATGTCTTTAAAGAACTCAGGGAGTTTGATGTTGTGTGGGATAAAATGAAATGCCAGGATGGGCCCTGAGTTTTACAGGGGAGACGCCCTGGCTCTGGGAGAATCCCAGCCCCATTCCCTAGAACATTTCTGTATTCCCTAGAACATTTCACACTGGAGAAAGCTCTAACACACGGCAGAACAGACTGGAGGATGGTGCTGCCCTTGACTTTTCTTAAAGCACCAAATATGCTTTTTCCACCCATCAGCAGAAGAGTAATGCTGAATCCGCACCTCCTCCAATCACGCCCCTGGCAATGCCTGAGCATTGCCAACAGAAATACGGGAAGAGCAGGGGGGAAGCAGGCTGTGAGGGAGAAAGGCGCTGTTTGAAAACAAAACCCAAAAGCCGAATCCTCCAGAGAGCTGGCAGTAGGCTCAGGGGGGGGGGTGTTTCATTTAGCTCTTTTGTCTGAGTTTCCCTTTCCAGCAAACCCTAATGAATTTGAAGTCAATTTCCAGCCCTTCACACACAAACTGCACTTTGGGTTCTATATTTTACAGCACCGGCCTCAACTCACCCTGAGTGTATCAAGTGGAGACAGCAGAATTCGGGCAACATCCAGAGCCACGTTCCCCTGCCCCAGGACCACAGCTGTCTCGCTGCTTAGGTCGGGCTTTAGCTGTACGGAGAGAGACACCCACTGAATAACACATTCAACAGCTGGTGGACCCTGTTATCTTTACCCCACTGAAGACTAGTTCTCTCTGTGGATGTAAGAGTTCAACCCGCTAAATGATGATAGAAACTAATAAGCATCAGGTTAATGGTTAAAGTCCACTAGGGTCCCCAGAGAGGGGTTGGCAGCTGGGACCTCAGGCATGCCTGGAAGCTACCTGCAGCAGAGTCTGCAGCCAGGATACTGCCGACGACAAAGCCTGCAGTGAGGGACTGGCACTTAGGACCCTAAGCACAGGGGCACCCCTCTAGCACTCTTCCCTCCCTACAGCCTCAGGTAAAACATTTAACCATGTAACCGACCGATTTTTGGTCAGTTACCTGATTACTATTATTGTACATTTTTTACATACAAAGGCAGAAGTTTCTTCAGCCTCCTGTATCTATCTAGTGGCCATTCCAATCCAGATAATGGGACCCAGGTAGGCCGAACAGTCACTCCTCCTCATGCAGTTGCCTAGTGCGGCTTTGTCAGAAAGACTAGTTAGCAATACATTCAGTTATTTTCCCAACTGGCAAATCTTTCAGTATCTCCTGGGCCCCCACTCCTCTAGGTCTCCTGGATTCCCATATCTCCTGTAGGGAAGCTCTATGAACATCTACTAAACCAGCGTAATCTTTCCAGCCCTAAAAGTGTCCCTTTCGGGCTTCCTTACGTCCTCTCCAAGAAGCGCTGCCAACCTACAGAGTTCGCTAATCCTCTCTTATTGACGTGAAAATTGTTCACATTTTTAACATCTAAGAAGGATTTAATTTTGCATCTGCTAATCTTTTTCAATTGCAAGCCTCTCAGGCAGGCACTAATCCGGAGCTGGCTGACTGCATGCAGATGCATGAAGAGTACAAAGTCTTAGAGAGGAAAAAACAAACCCTTACATCTCTGTTCTCGGGCAGTCCGTTGTACCAGCCCACAAACGCTCTGGCTGAATAAACCCCCGAGAGGTTCTCCCCTGGAATGCCCAGAATCCGGTTGTCTTCAGCACCATAGCTCTGCAGAGACAGAATCAACACTCCCATAGTCATATACACGTCGCTACATGGGGGTATACATATCAGACCCAAGGCAAGTCTTCAACTACACACATCACAGAGGAGCCAATGCTCTGCAGTGGCATTTCTTGGACACTGTACTGCTGCCAGTCACCATACTATCTGCGCACTGGCCGGGGTAGTAGATCAGCACAGCAAAGATCCTAAAGTATCAGTGGGCATCCTGCAGCCCACGAGCTACATGCTGCCCATCAGGGGTTCTGTGTGTGGCCCACTAGACATTGTTTACCACTGTCCATGCACAGGGTAACCAGATTTTGCTGGTTTCTGTCTGCATCATTTTTTCCCCCCCAACCAAGATTACCCAAGTGGCAAACCTGTAAAGCAAGGACATGTGAAGGGAGGTGCCTGCTGATTGCACACAAATCTGTGCACTCTCTGCAGTCCAAGTGCTGCTACGGTTCAATCCGCACAGCTTGCAGATTCTAGGTGCTGCAGATTCCAGTGCTGTTAGCAAAACTGCCCTATCCCAGGAGACCATCCTGCATTGGGATGAAGTGGGCCCGCTCATGTGGCCCACTCACTAGCCGGGTCACTCATCGCTGCCCAGTGAGTTGTGGAGTTACTGGCTCTTCTCCTTTCTTGGCCGGCAGGAATCCCTGCTCACCACACTAGTCCGGGCCCTGCTGAGCTATGTCAGACACAAGGACATGAGGAGGGAGAGCTGGGCTTCAAGCTGCATTTTTAGGGCAGGGGCAACATAAAAGTGGAGAAATGGTAACTGTGCATCTCCTCTCAGTCCCCAAACAACCATACAGCCCGTCCCTTTTTAGACCAACAGCTATTTCCTCAAGCCACTTGGCAGGGAGACTTTGCCACAGACACGTTCTCCCCTGGCTGAGTGTCAAAGGCTGTAACCTTCTGCCAACCCACAGCCTGACAACTGAGTCAGGCACCAGACTTGGAATGATGATTCCAGTCAGAAGGGGTCCCAGTCCAATCTGTAATGGAAAACAAGGAACAGCCATTTCTCTGCAACCAGCATTGAGGTGAACGGTCCCCAGGTCAGCAACATGCTATGGGATGCGCACATCAGGCTGAATGGCAACAGCAAATATTCACCAGCTCAGAGCACAGATTACTCAGAGATCCAAACACCATCTTCTGTAGCTGCAAAATTCATCCCCTAGCACTCGTACCCAACAGGGGTCACTTCATCCTCAGCAGACAGGGCGGGTTCAATGATTAGAACACCAATCTGTGACTGGGAAGATGTGGATTCAATTCCCTGGTCTGCCACAATCTTTCAAGTGACCTTGGGCAAGTCACTTAGCCGCTTTATGCCTTGGTTTCCCATCAACCCTGCCCTGCCATATAGGGGTGCTGTAGAGAAATAGTTAAAAACGGTTGGCGAGGTGCTCAGACATTATAGTGACGGAGTACCTAAGAGAGAGACAGATTCCCTCCCCATTAAAAACCAAACGTCACAGAACGGGCTAAACAGATCCAGCAGATACCCCCAAAACCATGTTGGATCTTTCCCAGTCCCTTCCCCACAGACACAGGAACCAGTAACTCACCAGAACCACTGCATGATAAGCCTGCTCCAGCTCCTCCACCATCACGTCCTTCCCAATAGTGACGTTCCCATAAAAGGAGCAGCGATCGGAACGCGCCGTCTGAGTAAATGTGTTGATTACATTCTGTTGGGTCAAAAGAAATTTGAAAGGGTTTAAATATAACAGCAAAGCACAGCCAGAGATGGGACAGAGGCATGGTCCCTGGATGAATACGCCCTCAATGCCCCCACACAGCCTTGAAGTTATAGGTCAGCGTCTCCTTCCCTAATTCACACTGGCTGCTCCGAGATGTGTTGCTCTTATTTGAGAAAAGCTTGAATATTTCATTTTAAAATAAACACAGCTATCCATGGCTTGGCACCACACCAGTCAGTTCTGTCGAAAGGAAGCATAGATCATTTTTAGTGGGTATTGCAAAGGGCAAGAAGCAGGAACAAGATCCATTTACGGCTGGTGGGAGTTTGCCCCACTGAAGAGAACACCTGGCTGGAAGTTTTGCTAGGTTGAATTTTTGTCCCTGGAACAGTCAAAACAAGCAGGAAAAGGAGCAACTCAAAGTTCCAGCCGGCACAGCACAGAAGGCCAGAGTCTGGCTGGATTTTGGGGGCCTCATTTAGAAGCACTCTTTCATTTTTCAGTAAGAACTCACTGGTTTTAATAAGTTGACCCTTCATGACAGGTCCGGTCACTCCCTGGTTTATCACAGACCATGCTGCTGCAGTGTACTAGCAAGAACACCTTTCCTTAAAGGAGAAATCCTGAGACACCAATACGACTGAATAATTTCAGCGCTGACTTTCTGAAGCAAGTGTCCTTGCCTTCCTCTCCCAAGTTTTAAAATAAAAGCTCCTCTTGAAACCAGACTGTGCAGCAATTTTGATATGCACCTCCCTCATTTTCAAGCTTTCCTCCCCCATGTCAGTCTCCAATGCCTCTGCCTTCCAGTACCTTTTTCTGTTCGTCAAACACCACTTCAGTGCCTCAAATGCCTGACCAGACCTGGTCTGGCCACAGAGAACAGGCCCCATTGTACAGAGAATCCCCTACCAACAAGAACTGCACCTAAGAATTTTTATACTAAGAGGAGAGACCTGAGAGGATGTACAACTCATTGTCCGCTTATGCGACTGAGCTGAGAACACCCATTTCATCCCTCTGACAAAGCTCCTGAAACGGACTCTCCATTTCCACCATCCCTCCCAGGAGGCAATGGAAAAGCCAATACTCACTTTGACTTCCGGATGATCTGGTGCCACTCCAAAACGAACAAGGCCAAAGGGAACCGGCAGCTTCTCATAAATATCCACCTGGGCTAGCTGGTGGTGCTAGAGAAAAGCAAGTTCACAATTATGATATAATCAACCAAGACAGAACAGAAACACACAAGCTAAACGGCTAACAGGCACCAGCATCAACCTTCTGCTGCAGAAACAGGCTGTGCATCAAGAGTCACTGAACTTCTTGAATCTGCAGGCACAGCAAAAACTGAGAGTAGGCGTGCGGGGAGTCTGTAGTTCACAGGGACCCATATAAACTTCCTGAACACTGGGGTCATCATGCAGGAACGGAAGGCAAGATATAGCCTATCCTCTGTGTCCCTACAGTCTTTATCAAGGGTCTGGCTTTTACCTCTGAATGCACAGGTTGCAGAACATCTGGTAAGTCCAGCTGAGGCAAGAATATTTACATCAGCAAAGCTGTCTGAATTTAATTTTGGTTGTAAGATGTTGCATTCAGATAGTAAGGAGGCGCATACAATGGTGACAACAATTGTCTGATCTTATAAAGACTAGCTGTCCTAACAGTACTCACATGTTCTGGTCAGTCACCAAAATAAAAGTAAACTGATGTATGCAGAATGCTGGCTTGGAATAAAAGAAAAGAGGCTGGCCAGACTACTCCCATCCTCAATTAACGTTTTAAAAAATTAGTATGTGGGGACCAGATGCACTAGAAACGTACAATATTGTGCATTTTAGGCTTGTATGCACTTCCATAGCAAAACTCTCCTGCGTTCAGCTAAACCATATTATCAGGGTGGAATAAGAATGTTAAGAGGCAGGTAATTGGCTAATCGTGTAGTCAACACAATTTGTATCAACTGATCGTGTAGCCCATAAGGGAAGGCGCTCTGTCCCAGCTCGTGATGAGTCCAGAAGCTACCCCCCGCTGCAGCTCTGCAGTTTAAGCGTAGCAATAGCCAGGCACACAGACAGCGTGATTCCTACTACATTTAAACTGCAGAGCTGCAGCGGGGGTAGGTCCCAGACCAGTCCCAGCTCATGCCGGGTGCGGGAGCAACCCCTACTGCAGCCCCTGTTGGCAGAGGCCCCCGTCTCCAGCAGCCAGTGCGGAGCAGCCTGTGCTCACAGTGAACCTGGGCCGGCTGCAGGCTGAGGCAGCTTCGTGGCAGCCTCCCCTGTTCTCCCCTCACCCACATTGAGTGCCAGCTCCCCCCCACACCCTTACTGTCTCTGATACAGAGGCAATGGGGGAGAAGGAAATGCAAGTAGTCGACTACTCAACTACTCGCTTACATCCCTAGAGTGTAATGCAGTGGATTCTGCCAGCCTGCCCCAATAGTAAGAGGAAAGGAACTATTTAAAGAAACTTTACACAAGGATCTCTCTTCTGACCTGAGGATTCATTAAGTTGTACCAATAGGAGCACCATATTGAGCTAGAGACTATGGCCTGTTTGATTTTTGTGCAGTAACTGTTTTATGTTAGAACATGCCCATTAGGTCAGTGAAAGGAATACGAGATACTGCAAAACACTGCCAGCAGAAATCCATGTATGACCAGTCCATCATGGAGAGTATGGCACAGGACATTTAAGCAATTGGTGCAGACATATATAGGGTGAAAGATCAGTTAATGATGCCAGCCAAGATTCTGAAATCTTGCTGCTGATTAAAGACATTTTAGGTTTGCAACTTGTATGTATTTTAGAGACAGACTTTTTGCTTTAAGTACTTTGCCAGCAGTTATTTTGAGACAGTGTCTCTGTTGTGCTACCTGTGGAGATTAAATAGCCCTGAAATTTGTCCTTGTAGTTCACTAATGGCTAAAATGCAGAGTATTATACCAAAGCATGCTCAAGAGTACTTCAGAGACAGCAAAAAGCAGGTAACCTCACTTGATAAATCACCTGTGGATGAGATTTATTCATTAGCAGCATCCTCAGCAGGTTCTGCAATCTAGTCTCATAATTTTGTCCTAATTTATAGTGATGATTTGTCCATAAGAAGCTGAGTTAGAGGTTGTGCTGCACCTAACAGATGGGCAGTCCACTAGAATAGATGCAAATGTTAAACCACCTTTGCACGCTTCTGATCCCAGACTGCTATGGGAACCAAGTTGGCTCCATGCAGAACTTCAGCAGATCAGAGGCTGCTCTAGATTACTGAAGCCTCCCCAGTGGTGCCTGCACTTCACCATGCAAGCCAGCTCAGCCACAGCAATAGGCAATACAACTCCATCGCTGCACACGCTTTTCATCCTGGCTTGACGGGGACAGCACAGAACCACTACGGCAGCCCAGCACAATACAGGCACCAGAAGAATCCCCCCAGAATTGTTGCAGGATGGCTACAGCCCATATGTCAGCAAGCAAGAGGCTGAAAAATCTCCCCTCGTGTTGAAGGAAAACCAATTACCTTCAGGAGGTGCTGGGCAGTGTAAAACCCAGCAGGTCCACTCCCCACGATACATATCTGAGGAGCAAGGGCAGCCGTAGAAAGCAGTTTGCTGATGCCTGAGCAAAGAGCACAAAAGCAGTCAGTGAGCAGAGAAAATACTACCCCTGACACAAATACCTTTTCTCCTGCTAGGATTTCCCACGCATGCTGGCTGGCCCTCGAAATTGGGAGGGATGCTAATGGCTTCTAAGAGCTAGTTTTTCTGTATTTGAGAAGCACAGGACTTTGAACCACTTGAAACAGAGGGATGGATGTTACCCTCAGGAACATGTGTACATACCATGGAAAGGAAAGGATAGCCAAGCCACCAACAGGAAAATATCAGGGATTCTGAAATACCCAGGGATTCTGCCAGGTAACAGACTTCCCCTTTGGAAGGGAATCTTTGCTGAAACACGGCATAAGACAACCTCCCTTGTTGATTACTTTTTAAGTCCCTTTCTGTGCTACTCTCTTGCCCCCCTCCCACTTGAAACTTTTCTCCTGAGACACAAGCCCAACCAGAGACCTTGCTGCAATGGTAATCTAGCGTTTCATGTTCCCCACAGTGCAGGCTATTCAGAGAACAGGCCATCAATAAACTTTAATGTGATCCGATTAAACAGCAATCGGAAGGGCCAGAGACAACAGAGCAATTTCAGCCATAGCCCAGCACGACCTTGCCAGTCAGCTGAGAAGTTTTATTCCTCTAAGTACAAAGGCATTCAAAGAAAAATGCATGGGGGTCAAATGCCAGGAACAACCCCTCCCTGTCAAACCCTGATATTTTTCTGAAGTGTCCTTGATATGTGTATTTTAGAAGCAGCTACCCAGCTCCACTTCCACTGTCCCTGTAGAGTCAATTGGACTCTTAGAAATGGAGCGTGTCTGGGGAAGGCACTGAGGAGTAGGAGTCATGATTCCATTCCAGACTCCGAAGGTAGCTGGCCTTGGGAAGTCACCTCTTGATGCCACCATTACACCTGTAAATCAGGTACAGAAATTCCTACCTACCTCACAAGGAAATTGGGGCTTCATTAATTAATATGTTAATTAAAGCACTTTGACTCCAAAGGAAAGGCATGATAGAAGTACAAGTCAGGAACAGATTTTCCTCCCTCCTCTGAAAGGGAGAGGATATGTGCGCATGGGGTGGGGGATAATTTTTAGTGACTCTACACTTGGTGAACGGTGGCAGCTGGACATCCTCGGAGACTGAAATCCTCTCTTCCCAGAACAGCTATGGTACAGGCAATAACAATGCAAGAGTCCTCCCCTTCCCACTCCAAAAAGTTGACTTACCCTGACCTCGGAGGACAGAAAATAGTTGAGTTTCCATGGTTCATTCAGACTTTAGGCCTCTACTGAGGCTGCCAACCAAGCCCCCAAAATAGCATTAACCATGAGGGCAATTTTTTAGACATGGAAATTTGTTCATCACATACTGGACTAAACCAGCTCATTCTTCTGAGGCCTGTCAGCAGGCAACAATAAAGTCGCTACTGATTTGTGCTTAAACCAGCAACCCAACAGGTCTCTGAAGACACTAACAAACAACACTCCCAGGCACACAATCCTACATCCAAATGTACATGTATTTAACAAAGAGAGGGGCTCTAGCTCTTGAAATGCTAACTGACATGGTGGAATAGTGATAGAAATGTAGCCGTGTTAGTCTGGGGTAGCTGAAGCAAGTGGATCTGAGGAAGTGGGTCTGGCCCATGAAAGCTCATCATCTAATAAACCATCTTGTTAGTCTTTAAAGTGCTACATTGTCCTGCATTTTGATATGGTGGAGTCTTCCAAACAGGCATTGCTGCAGGGTACTTTTACTTCTAGTCACCCTAGAAGTTACTAACATCAGGAAATCAGTGATTTATTTACAACACTGTATTGTATTGAACAGTGTTACTTGAAGAAAATGAACCTAGGCACTCAAGTTACATGACAAGAATAAAAGGAAAAGTTGATCAGTTTGAAAGTGAGTCACATTCACTCAAATGCCTCTATTTTAAGGCTAACTCCATAGGCTGCACCATTTGATAAAAATTTCATCTTTTATAATATTTCTCCTCCCTTCCAGAGGCCACCAAGCATCTCAGACTGACACTAAATACAGGACAGATATTTTCATGGCATTCTTGCCGCTTACTTCCAACTCTTTTTCTGGAAAAAAAATCTTGCAAGTTCAGAGCCTAACAGCAGATTAAAAGTTTAAAGTAGTTTTACCAACTTGCATTGCTATATATGTAGCCAGATGAACTTGCTCTGCTCTCTCATTGGTCTTTTCCCTTGTTGCATCCAAATCTCTCTCACCTGCAGTGGTTTTAGTTGCTTTATTTTTAAATCAGCCAAACCAATTTAATGTCATCAGCTGTCTCACCAATCACTTCTACATCACCTAGCATCACGCTTCCATGAGAGATTGTCTCAACTCAACTTGAGACACATGGTGCTTCAGAATAAAGCATCCACACAGGTGTTCATCTTCCAAAAACATCAGGCCCAAAGATTCCTAGGGGTCTCTGTTTTATTCACTCTTTCAGAAAGCAGCTTCCAGAAGAAGCCCTTGCAATGCAGATTCCAGGGCACAACATCTGTGGGACAGGAACGGTGTTTTGGCCATTTCAGGGTAGGCCTATTCCAAGGTAGCATAGTCCTTCCTTTGGGCTATCACTTCTGTGAGTGAAGACTCTGGATCCTTGCAAACAGCCAAGCTCTTTTTGTGAGCACAGGCTTCATGGCCAGTTACTGTTCTTAAGCATGTGGACATTGAAGAATCAGCTGGCTCCTTCACCTCATTCCCATCTCATTATCATATTGCTCCCTGCATTTCCTCAGTGACACAGCTCCCATTCCTCTACACCCCAACCACTGCCTCCACAGCACACCTCCTACCACTTCATTTTTCATTCCCTAAGGCAACGTTTCTCAAACTGTGGGTCGCAACCAGTCGTGAGCAACTTAGAGGGGATTCAGTTTTTCCATTTGCGACCCCTCTCTCCTGGGCTGCGATGAGCAGCAGGGCAGTTTAAGGCAGCCACCGGCAAGCCACGCAGCATGGCTGGGGCCGCGGGACTCCAGGACCACGGCTCAGCTGCAGCAGGAGGCAAGGCGGCAAGAGAGTGAGGCCAGCGCAGGAGTGGATGCAAGAGGGGCTGGCTGGGGCATGGTTGCCGGGCAACCGAATGCTTCCCCAGCTGGGAGAGGGCAGGGTCCCTCAGGCAGCGGGCTGGGGGATTGGGTTGGGGCAGAGGACCCGGAGGTAAATAAGGGCACATGGGGGTCAGAGGAGGAGACACAGGAAAGGAGTGGAGGATGGAGGCGAGGAGAGAGGGAAGGAACTAAAGGGACGCCGAGTAGAAAAGAGGCACAGAGGAGAAAGGGGGGGGAGGAGCGGAGGACCACAAACACCTTGAAGGAACCCCAGGAGGGCAAGGAGTCTGGTCAGAAGGGGGGAGGAAGTGACCCAGAGCAGTGAGGGTGGGGCAGGGTCATACACATTAGCATTTTAGGGGGTCATGGTATCACAAAGTTTGAGAACCCCTGCCATAAGGCTCTCCAGCACCACTGAGGCCAAGTTCCCATTTCCCTGCCCTCTCCCGACCATCTATTGCAGTGGTTCTCAACTGGGGTACACCAACTCATCTATAGATTTGCCTAGTTTCATAGCAGGCTACATAAAAAGCACCAGATAAGTCAGTACAAACTAACACTTCATACAGCACTGAATTGTTTATATTGCACTATAGATAACACACCGAAATGTAAGTACAGTTATATTCCAATTGATTTATTTTATAGCTGTAATGGTAGCAATAAGCAAGGGAGCCATGTATCAGTAGAAGTGTGCTGTGACACTTTGTTTGAGTTTACAAACTAGCAGTTTTTAAGTGGGGTGTAATTAGGGGTACCCAAGGCATAGCAGACATGAAAGGAGCACAGTAGAGGACAGGCTGAGGGACACAGCTCTATAGCCTGGCTCCCATGCGCTGACCCATCCTTCCGTAGCCCAGCTCTCTGGTACCCCCCAGTCAAGCTCCCTCTAGCCAACTCCACTCACCCTATGAGCGAGCTCTCCTTCCCCACCGCCCTTCCCCTGGTCCGATCCCCCCCACAGCCGGCTTCCGGCCCTCCCCATTGGTCGGGTCCCCCCCAGA